TTCGAAAATTACATACCATAACTGCCAAAATGCCGTTCTTTTCAGCTGGTCGGAGTTCAGAATACCGAGGACTTTATCTGGCACAAACCCGTCTCGTCAATCACGGTAGCTGCTACGAAACCGCTAATCTATTTGTTTTGGGCTAAGAAGTACTTTTCTCCACATAGCCTCCTTATTCTGGACATAGCCCAGATAAGACTTAGCCTCGAGTACCGCTCACATTGTGGTGCTGCCGCATTGAATTCATTATCGATGCTTGATGCGATTCAGAGGAAAGCAGTCCGACTCATTGGTGACTCTCCTCTAACGGCCAATCTCAACACTCTTCCTGACGTCGGCAGTCAGGCTCTCTTCTGTCGCTATGTCAACGGGCTTTGCGCATAGCTCCCCTCCATGATGCTGTAGCGCGATGAGCCTGCCGGACAGACCCACCTGACTTTGGTCCCCTTCGGAATGACCGGTCATTTGTCCCTAGAGTATCAAAATTTTGCCTGCGGAGACTTCTCGTTCTAATTACCTGCTTCGGTATAAAAAAGTTCATCTGAAATAATAACCACAAATTGTACCATTCTTGGTGATTAAGCGAACAAAATAAATCACTAAAAGTGTTCAACAGGTTTTGTATATAGGTCGCTTCTGAAGTGCTATCCAGCAAGCTAACCTCTGCAAGAAATTAATTGCACATAGATCTTAATTCTAAGTTCTCTAGAAACAAGCCTACTACCCTTCTGTATACAACTCATAGCAGTGCTTCATAGTTTCTCAAACTTACTCAAAACTGGTTTTGATATTGACGTTCGACAGAAAAGTTCTCCAGCTCTACTTCTCACATCATACTGGCGAGGAAGTATTGTATTCACGAAAAATTTCGAAAATAGATATTATGTTTTTTGAATATCATATACTATGTACACCACGAAAAACCACCTCTTCCATTTTCGTCGGTCTGTCTGACCGTCTGTTTATCGGTATGTCGGTCTAATTCTTGGAATCCTGATAATTTCTTAAAACATTCCTAGGTTTAAAACATTTGGTGGGCGGAGGTTTTAGGGGTACTATTTTTTCATGTTAGTATATTTATATGGAAATCCTACGCATCTATTAGACATATTTCACATGCGCAGCATAGATTTTCTAGTACTTTTGCCCCTAAAACAGTACAGAAAAATATTCTCAGCAGACGGACCGCGTACCTATCGGCCACGTCTGCTTCTGCTCCCGGCGGCGTGCCGGTCGGTCTTGGTAAGTGTTCTGGTATTACAACGGCGTCTGGCTGGTAGTGATGTCAGATATTTCACGAACTGTGATCCAGTAACTGATATCTTGGAATCACGGATAACGGCTGTTACTGAATGTCGTGAAAAAGCGTGACGTGATCACGACTTCGCAAAGCGCGCTGCCGAGCCAACATCCGCCCGGCACCCGCGTCGCCGAAGATGAAGTGGGATGGGATCACGATCACGCATCACGGTTCACGGTATCAACGTTCACGGCACTGTTTGAATTTTGAATATGCAAGCCGTTCGCATGCGTCGCGCGTGGCGCATGCGGGCTGCCGTGAGGTCGAAAATCGTAAGCCGCCGCATGGCCTGTAAGCGATATTGAACATTGTAACAGTACAGCGTAAGGGGCAGTGTAAACCAAAACAAGCTGGATTTTAGGTTACTTTGAGATTATTTTCGCCTGCAGATCAAAACGTGATACCATGGCGCCAATCTTGAGAAAAAAATCAAGCGAATTGTGGCAATTTTTTCAGCCGATTGACGAAAGCTTTGCAATATGTAATATGTGCAAGTGCAAATTTTCGTACAAAACTAGTACCAGCAATTTGAAAAAACACATAAACAAAAGACATCCCACCATTACCCTGAAATCAACAATCCCCGCTAGTGAAAGTGATACACATACGTTATATATCGCAGTAAGGTAAGTGAATATATTTTAGACTTTGTTTTCAGCCCTACATTATGGAGTGATTTTAATCTCTAAGAGTTTTGTTTTGGTACTATAATATTCCATATTCCAATATTTTTCAGACAGATAATGGAGAATCTATGGAGAGTGCTGTTGGCAATCACCCATCTACCTTCAAGCAAACTCAGATAGCATGCCAAGCAAATGCTCCAATTAGAATCACTCAAACGAAAGTTGATAGTTTTTCAAACATATTGCAAACAAAAATTAGTGCCAGACAGAAAAATAAAATTGACAGGAAGTTACTTTATCTTTGCGTGAAAGATCTTCAGCCATTCTCTATAGTTGCTGATACTGGCTTCAGGGAATTCGTTGCAGCCCTCAATCCATCATATCAATTGCCAGAAAGGCGCATCATTTCAAAAACATTAATTCCGGCACTTTATGAAGAATGCTTGACCAACACAAAAAACCTGATCTCAACTGGAAAAACATTTTGTGTCACAACTGATGGTTGGACTTCCACAAATAACACCAACACTAGCTATGTTGCTGTAACTGCACATTTTTTAAACAAGGAGTTTAATTTGATATCGGTTCTCCTTGAGTGTTCTGCATTTGAAAAAGGTCATACAGCTGAGAATCTAGCTGCATTTCTCCTAAAAGCAGCCACTAAGTGGGATATACAAGACAAGATAGTTTTTGCTGTATCGGATAATGCAGCAAACATACAAAAAGCTTTACAGCTAGTGAAATGGAAAAATATGGGATGCGTTGCACACACGCTCAACCTTATAGTCAAGGATGGATTAAAAAACGAAAGGATCACATTGATTTTAGAAAAAGTTCGAGAAATAGTACGCTACTTCAAGAAAAGTACAATTTCGAACAACAAACTCCTGAGGTATCAAGAAAACACGGGAATCGAAACTCCTCTTAAAGTAATTCTTGACGTGGCTACTCGTTGGAATTCAACTTACTATATGTTAGAGAGGTTTATTCGGCTAGAAGAAGCCATTAAGAGCACTGTTGCTATTATTGACAAGGAACTACCTGTGATAAATGTAGAGGAATGGAACATTATCAAAGAACTATGTCTTGTGCTGAAACCATTCGAAGATGCGTCTAGAGCTCTATCTGGAGATACATATGGCACCACTTCCCTTGTGATACCCATCTGTTCCGGCTTACAAAACGTATTTGTGAAATTGGTGAATCAGAAGCGGTTCACAGCAACAGTCAACAATGTGGTTGAAGTTTGGTACTCAGGCTTACAGGAACGCCTTGGTAATATTCAAAGGAGTGGTACCTTATCTAATAGCACGTTTCTTGATCCCAAATTCAAGGATATTGCGTTCTTTGACAAAACTGCTGCTGAAAACACGAAAAAAAGATTGATAGAACTAATAGCAAGGAAAATACGAGAAGACAATTCTGAGCTTGGAAATCACGTAACTGAAAGCTTAGTTAATGAGAGCAAATCGTTATTGAATCAAGAGGAAGATGGAGAACTGTCGATTTGGGGAAACTTCGATAAAATCGTTGCGAGTGCTCAACCAAAGGGAACATTCACTTCTCGTGCAATTATCGAAATGCAGAGATACTTGGAAGAGGAAATCATCCCTCGAACAAGCAACTCCTTTCTCTGGTGGAGAGAACACAGACAAATGCTCCCATATCTATCCAAAATTGCACAGGAACAACTGTGTAACTTAGCTACTTCAGTTCCCTGTGAAAGGCTGTTTTCGAAAGCTGGGCAAGTTATAAGCGACAGGCGAACTAGGTTGAGCACCAAAAATGTTGAAATGTTATTATTTCTCAACTCTAACATGAAGTACATGGCAGACATTTAGTTATTGCTTTTACTATTCTATAGTATGATAGAACATTCTATTTATTTTTGTTGGCTTTTGAGACTTTATATATAGTACTAGATACCATTTATATATTTATTTTTGTGGAATCTCGTATTCTTTATTTTTGTTTGGTTATCGTACTCGAATGTATTTTGTCATAGTAATATATTCAACAAGTTTTCATTTCAGAAGACTATTATTATACATATGTACCTAGTATCTACATATTTCAAACGCAAACTTAAGTGTTTGATGCTACTTTATCACAGTGAGCTCAGGGTATCAGTTAAGTCATACCCTACTCGTTACTCGAAAGTCGTGATCACGTCACGCTTTTGAATCACTGATATCAAAAAGTCACGATCACGGATATCACCGATATCCAGAAATCACGATATCAGCCTACTGGCTGGTAAATGACCAGGTTAGGTATCGGGAAGAGGCGACATTGCCAGATGCACTACCGGTAGTTCAGAGAAATAACGTCTATGGACTAAGTGGACGGACCTCTTTGACTGACTTTGTTCGCAACATAATGTTTCATGAGCTGATGATGGCGTTGCGTGGGAAGTGCAGAGGCAACCTACTTGGCGACACTTTTTGTACCTCTGGTCATTCCATTTCTCTCAAGAATATAATTTCGTTGTAAAATCTGTTACAGTGTTATTCTACGAAAGACATTTTTAAATTGGCTTTTTGTTTAGCACGCCACTGTCCTGTCATATCCAAATACTATCTCTTTATTTTCAACTCGTCCAAAGAGCCTCTTTTAATTTAGGGTCATAATCCATCGCACCCGAACAATTGACTGTTTTGACTGCGGTGCGGTCGTACCTCTCAGTCGATTGTGACAGTTGTGGATAGTTTGCCTTTGTGTTTGAATAAACCGTCGATATTCCAGCCGATTTCAACTTTGGGTAGTCGGGAGCATTTGTCAGCTACTCTGAATGGGGAATAACGCTTTAAATTCATTGGTTTTATCCTCATAATGACATCGTTGGTGAGCTGTTTGGCTATGTGGACCCTTACTGCTACGTAGGTGTCAATGGATAGGTTCTATTGTGCGCACGAGGTATTATATACGTCCATTTAACCAGTTTATTTTCTTGCGGTCGCGCTTGATAGGCAAGGCGAAAACCTCGCATTCCGGGGAGAAACTGAGACTAGTTCTCTAGATCACTCTCGCATTGTTTCGCTCTATTCGATGAGTTAAATAGATTAGTTGAAAGCATGGCTTCCCCACCAAGTGTAAATGAGCAAAAAGCTATGAAATGGGACAAAGAAAGTACTCTCAAGCTAATTGAGATGTACGAGGCACATCCAGAACTTTGGAATTGCATATTGAAGGAGTACAGAGATCGGGATAAAAAGGCTCAAGCTATAAAAAATATAGCAGATCAGTTAAAAATCACTGAAGCCGAAGTTGGAAGAAAATGGCATAATTTAAGGTGTCAAATGAATTCGGAGATAAGGAAAATTAAAAAAACCAAAAGTGGACATGGAACTGATGATAGACTGTGGAAAAAAGTAAGTGGGAATTTTATGATGCGTTACAGTTCATGATGGGTTGCTCTGGGACCACCAAAAGCACTGCAAACTTTAGGGATACGGTGAGTAAACATTTTTTCAGCATTAGAAACATATATTACATTAAGCAGATAAAATGGTATTATGTTTATATATATTTATACTGCCAGGCGACTTCACCATGTTTGGATACAAAATAATTTTTAAATTGTTCTCTTACTTCTTTGGCTGTTTTCGATGGGTTTCTAACATTTGTAGCCTGTAAAGGAACCATATTAGCTATAGGATTTCCTCCATTTCTGCAACTCCCATTGATAACGTTCCCATCATTTTCAGTATCAAATATTCCATTTGGGGCATATAAATGTGCCGAACTTTTTTGGGTCAGTAAGAAATTATGCAAAGAACATATTGCAAGTACAATTTTTTTAATCTTCTCTGGAGGTAAGTCTATTGGTCGTCTAAGAACACGAAATCGAGCCGAGATCAGTCCGAAAGCATTTTCAACTACACGCCTTGCTCTTGATATTCTGTAGTTAAAAACTCGATTAAATCCGGGTTGGTTTTTGAAAGGAAAAGGTTTTAATAAATAGGAAGTCAAGGCAAAAGCATCATCGGAAATAACAACAAAAGGTACATCTTCAGATTCACCCGGTAATGGCCTTGGTTTTGGCATGTTTAACATGTTGTTTTCTAATGCTCTTGACAATGAACAGTTTGGATACACGCCACGATCAGATATTTGTCCATTCCATCCGACATCCACATAAAGAAATTTGTATTTTGCATCAACTAGTGCCATGAGGACTATGCTATGTGTTCCTTTATAATTAAAATAAAGACTGCCTTTATTCCTTGGTGCTTTCATAACCACGTGCTTGCCATCTAGAGCACCTAAACAGTTTGGAAAATTCCAAATCTCCTCAAATCCCTTTGCAACTTCATACCATTCTTCCTGAGAGTTTGGGATCTAAAAGAAAAAGTAATATTACAAAACTAAAAATAAGCTTTTTCGCTACTTTTGTTTTATTTCAGGTTTCGTCGCAAGAGGAAGATTTTCTGGAGGAGTCTCAATTACAAAGCATAGAAAAACCAACAACATCAAATACTACAACTCATCGTTCGAAAAAACTAAAAACCAAAGCCAAGGAAAAAACGGACGAGGAAGGTGATGCAATGCTAGAAAAGGCTAAAAACATACTAAATACACCAACTGTATACCGTATTTGGTGAATATGTTGCTAGTGAATTACGGCAGCTGCGTTCTGATGAACGAAAAAGAAGATTAAAACGAATAATCCAGAAAGCTATAGTTGCAATGAGCGAGGAAGATGAAGTGGAGTTTTCTGGATCAAGAACACTTACACCTTTAATGTCGCCTACTTATCCACATTCGAGTACATACCCATCAACTTCAAATATGGTTGAAAGTTTTGAAGATAACAAATACAACTACAAACCTTCCTCCAATCACGCAGCTTTACGAAAATTACTTAGCTGGAGATAATCCGTTTTCAGCACAGTAAATATCGCTTCACAAACTTCAGGTATAATCCTTGAAATGGTTGTGACTGGAATCCGAAAAAGGTATTGCAGGGAATGATAGCTATCTCCTACAATTAAAAATGATTTAATTAGAAGTTATTTTTGTTTGATTTTTAAGTTAAATACATCCTAGAAAACAAAATCATGTCTTTCAATACTCAAATGTTGCTAAAAACCGTAAAGTAAGCATGAGCCGTTCTGAAGATGAAATAGCTAGCCTAAGATGATTATCTTGTTTTCTAATCAATGGTTCAACTTTTTGAAGCAAGTATTCATAGTCCTTATTACTCATGCGTAAAAAGTTACCGTATGAATTCATGTCTTCGCTGTGTAATTCTTTCACCAATTGAGCAAAGAAACCACCATCTTGTCTTCTTGAAATCCAGCTCCTAACCCACATCCTTCTCTTCTTGTTTTTTAGCTCAACATTTTTTCTCTTCTTCGTTATTAAAATAACAGAGGCAGCAGCAATTTTCTTAATTCGCGACATTTCAAACTACTTCCAACAAACTACGGTGCAATAATGCCTATACGTTTTTACGAGATCAAATCTACCATGTTATGTACACACCACATAGAGAAATTGGTATAGATTTAATCTAGGAAATATCTACGAAGGTCTAGCGAGGGCCAAAATATGTTATAGTGTACACAGAACATAGACAAGTCTCACCTAGAGAACGTATCTAAATCTAAAATCTAGGTAGATTTTCTCTACAGTGTACACGTACCATTATGGTGAATGGCTTTCGAATATATTTTTTTTAGTAGTTTAGTATGTTGTAGATCTCAACACGTAAACTGAAAATGCTCAAAGTTTTTCAGTCAGCAGCTTCCCATATAGAGGGCCTCCAACTTAAGCAGTCTTTATCCTACTTACAGCCCATTGAGGGTTCGTCACAGAATATTGTAATAGTTGCTTGATATTTATTTACGTTTTCATCATCCCTCCTAGCCGGTTCACCAACACCGCGTTTTACTTCACACGTACAGAGTGCTTTTCTATATACTATTCAGGCTTATCTTGTGATATCCCTGAGAGTTTGCATTTCTGAAATATTTCGGGTGATACAGATAGTCCGACTGATAACTTGCATAACACAGTTACTTTTTTATAGGTTTATCACATATTTGGACCTCATAGCTGCTACCTTGTTTACCCATTCCTTGCTCTCAAAAACACATAGTTAATTAATTGTTCCTTTAAAAAAGTCACTTGGGTGATTTTCGCATTTATAATCTCGCGGTTTATAAGTTGTTTTACACACCAATTATTTTTATGTGATGAAATTAAGGAAATCCATTTGAAAATGCACATTTTTCTCTTTATCTATCAAAGTCGTGGAGATGGGTTGACATACATCATGTTTTTTTAAACAAAACATGTGATATCACAAAAAAACTATAAAACTCGACAAGCCGCAGAAGTATGTATGTCTATATAAAATACAATGCTTTTTAAAAAGTCCCACCTTTATTCTTTGGAAGGCAGGGGTATTACGTATCTTGAAAAGTGACATTATGCCGATTTTTTTTTACGTTGTATTAAGTTTTTGTAAGATTATGTAGGTATTTCTACAAGAGGTTAACTTAGCACTTAGTTGTACGTGTTGCCTAAACGTCATGAGGCTTTAGTTATCAATGTTTGGCTCTGATGTGATATAAGATCTGCTTCAGAGATGGCATTACTGGGGCTCTAAGCTGTAAGTTGTATGTGTTGATGATGATTCCATTGGGTTCTTGTCTCAAATACACTTACTCGAGATTCAAAGCTAGAAATTAGTTGCGTATCCACTTTTTCTTATCCATTCTAGAAATTACATATGCAAATTTGCTAAATGTCAAAAATGAGAGAGATAAGAAATAATTATATTCACTGTACACTGTCGAATTACAAGCCATATACTATACATGCTAACAGTAATTACACATAACGCGGGCGCGGTGGTGATTTCGCATAATTCTCCTCAAAGTTCTTCGTAATTTATAACTCTTCAGAAAAGACAACATATAATTAACCCGTCGGGCACACCTAATGATATACTTCATTGGCAGCATATTCACTAATGATTTTCTCACACATCAAATATCACTGATTTTATTCACATGCAGACCAATATACATATCATCCAGATCCGATCGTGCTATTCAACCAACTTTCTTCTCAGAGATAAAAACTACAGAATCCTCGGCTTCACACAACATATGCAACCAACAATGCGTGTAGTTTAGTTATGTCATTCCTCCATAGATGGACGCTCACAACGATCCTAGTGAGCAAACGTGGAATGACTCTTTGCTCCCGAAAAACTACCTAGTCTGCAATATGGCATTTTATAGTTTTTTTTTGACGTTTTATAGGTTTTTCACATAATACCTGTGCGGGTCAAGTTAGCGAAATAAAATTTGGAATGATGAAATTGATTCGATTTTGGCGTAAAAGTGACAGATGGAAATTGCAAGATGGCCGCTGGACGCCTTGACCAATTCTTTAAATAGGTTAGAATTTTAAATAGATTGGTGGTTCATGTGTTACTTTATTTTGAAGCTTGTTATGAGTAACTATATAATCATAGAGTATACATTTACTATCTTCCAAAATAGTGAACTGGCGGGATGCAAATTGATAACAACTGTTCATAAACACGCCGTAGTAAACGAATCTTTTTCTTTTTGTAGGGTCTATCTGGATGTGCAGTAAAATATAGGGTATTTCGTCTGAAAAAGGCAGATTGTGGCATTTCACACATACGGATAAATTTTTGAACGGGAAAAAAAGATTAATATAACATTATATACTATAGAGCGTTAACGTTTAGTATTTAGTGTACAGAAAAGCTCAACTTTAAGTAGGTCATAAGGAGCTTTTAAATAAGGTATCACACGACACATCATTCCTTTTATAAGAATTGTGTTAAGATAGCGCTCATCCACCATCTTTAAATGTTCAGCTATCACCGTTTCACAAAAATATAGTATTCACGCATACATTTCGTTATCCCACTAGCCCAACTCGTCCAAAAAATAAAAGCGGGAGGACCTTTTTGAAAAGCACTAAAAAAGATTGTTGTTTATGAAAAACATATTTGATAGTCCGCTCAGTAGTAGGACTGTATAATCCTGAAGATTTTTTAAATGTACATATTTCCACGGAGACGGTGCTGGATAATCCAGAACAGTTTGCGAACCAGCTAGTAGGGATGATACTATGAACATAAAAAAATTTCACAGATCACACAACTATTACATATCATTTATCCAACCACAATGTGCTGCAATAGGGTAACGACTGTCCAAGGCACTGTACCTGGGAAACTACTCATGGAGAAACTTGGACACTTTTATTCTGATCTGCAAAAGACTGAGATTCAAAAAAGATTGACGAAAGCCATTACCCACAGGGTTTCTGCAAGCTTTTTCCGTCTCGATTTTTCTATAATCACGTTTGTTACGGTGTATTTAGACATTCTTTAATCAAACACAGGAAATTATTTTTGTCTCTTTAGATATTTTTTTCAGGGATAGACCACTTTCGCCAGAAGAGAAGCTGCTGCTGTACCACTAATGTATATAACTATCCACATATTTTTGCGGCTCTAGATTTGTTGTTGTTTCAATTGATATTGGATCTACTATACCAGAAATAGGAAGGAGTATAGTGTTGGTACATACTAGGTTGCAAAGACGTAACAAGAGGAAGATGAGCCCGCTCAAGCGCTCAACCATCCTCTTCATTTGCCCTCTGCCTTTCGGCTTAATGCTTCCCCGACTCCCCTCTGTCCCATCGAAATCACCACCAAGCTAACCCATCATCCGCTACCTGCCAAAAAGGAAAAGGGGAAAGGAAAGGAAGAAACGTCGTCCTTCCTTTCGCTCAACACCTTTTCCCAATTTACAATTCATTTAACTCATTGTAATGACCTGATCTAATCTCACCCTTTTTTTTGTGAGGGTAATCCATTTAACTCACTCTAATGATCTAATCTAATATCACCCTTTTTTGTGAGGTTATCTATTCTAAAATAACTATTTTAGTTGAATTGAACAATAATAAGTTGAATAAAACCTCCTCCCATTCCCTTTGCTCGCTATCTTGCTTCCACTCTTTGATCCAGCATCCGCATTCATTCCTCTCATGCATCGCGTCCTCATCTCCCTTTCCACATTCGCATGTCGTACATCCATCTCCTCTACCGAATCTTTGTAGGTCCTTCCTTTCGGACTACTCTGCCATCTCCTCTGCGATTCTTCCATCATCCTTCGTTCCATCCTTCCTCTTGCTTTTCCTCTTATTGTCCCCAAGCTATCTTCCATCCAACCTCCTCTCACTCCAACCCCTTTCGCCTTTCCATCAACCGCCTAGATCCATTGATTAGCCCTCTCATATCCTTTCATCCATCTTATCTCTACTCGCTTCCCCTCGTACCGAATCTGTCCTAGTGTTTTTACCGTGTTTTACCTCTTAGGCTTTGCTTTGATAAACTATTAGGAACCTGTTGACTGTTCGTGTAGTTGACTGCTTCCTGTTAATTAAGGTACAGAGCTGTGCCTTGAAAGTATTAAACTGCACCAAACCCTTCATTACGACGGACATCCTACAACCGGAGAGAAAGCCACACATCGATTTGCAAAATTTCTCTAGAAGGCCATCGGTCGGAGGTTTACACAGGTGGACGATTTACCACCCTTGATCGTTTATGGTGATACCGCAAAAATCCGTGACACTAGCATCCGTCGATCTCGCAGAATCTATAATATGTGGGTTAATAACGCAGCTTTTCTAAGAACCTCGCAAATACGAACACATGAAGATCATTATGCCGAGACATTCCATCCACTCCAATTTGCGATCATTCAACAATATTTTCAACCTCAATACCATCATCATCTTTCGTCGTTCGTAGTACGACTTTATTTAATACCTCCGCAATTAGAACAATTCACTATCGTCTCTACGGGCTCTGTTATTACACCTATTTACTCCCTGGTATTTTAGACCAGGAAAACTAGGAACTGCACTGATATCAGACCCTCAGGTTTCTTACGTAAAAAACCTATATACTCGTAATGTAAAAAACCGACAAAATGTCAACTTTCTGCTTTCGCTGTGAGTGTCACCCTAGTGTCATCTATTATGGAGCAATGACTTGCTAGCCTGCTTTGTTGGTTGCAGACCGCCGAGATAGTCTGTAGAGTATGCAAAGAAAATGTGAAAGAGAGAAAAACTGGTTGAATAGCAAGATTGCATCTGGATGATTGTGTGGTGTGTGTATATTGGTCTGCATGTGTATAAAATCAGTGATATTTGCTATGTGAAAAAATTATTACTGAATATGCAGCCTATGAAGTATATTAGCTTTATTAGAACTTCTACCCGCGGGTTTGTTACGTAAAAATAAGGATAATGGAAAGCTGTTATCAAATTATTGCATTGTCATCAGTCCTTGATACGTGTGCGAAGTTTCGAATTAATCAAACTTCTGGAAATTG